CAAGGAGAGAAGCAACTTAGATGTGAGGAGAAATTTCCTGAGAGTTAGAACAATTAATCAGTGGAACAGAAATTGCCTCCAGAAGTTGTGAATGCCCCAACACTGGAAGTCTTTAAGAAGATGTTGGATAGCCATTTGTCTGAAACGGTATAGGGTTTCTTGCCTAGGCAGAGGGTTGGACTAGAAGACCTCCAAGGTCCCTTCCAACTCTGCTATTGTATCGTTGTTATTATTATTTTGTAATCCTGTTTAGTCTCTTCTTAAAAGTCTTTAGTGATGGAGCACCCATGACTTCTGGAGGCCAGCTGTTTCACTGGTTAATTGTCCTCGCTGTCAGGAAGTTTCTCCTTAATTCCAGGTTCTTCTCTCTTTGATTAGTTTCCATCCGTTGCTTCGTATCCTGCCCTCTGGTGCTTTGTAGGTTGACCCCCTCTTCTTTCTGGCAGCCCCTGAGATATTGAAAGACTATTATCATGTCCCCACTAATCCTTCTTTTCTCTAGACTGGCCATACCCAGTTCCTGCAGCCGTTCTTCATAGGTTTTTGTATTATATTATATATTAGCTGATAACCCAGCATTCCCCGGGTATTTATTTATTTATAGGGGGGGAAATGTCCGGACCAAACGTAATTTCTAATGTTGGATTTTCCCCCTTACCAGAGGGAGCCCCCTTGTGGAGTACTGTGAAATCATTACCATGGCAACTCCACTGCGCTGTACAGTAGAAGGCACTTTACGGCAGTACAGTAGAAGCCACTTTACAGCAGTACAGTAGAAGCCATTTTAAGGCACAACAGGCTGTATCTTAACAGAACACACACTCTGAGGGGTGTTTTACCCCCACAGTATTTTTCTCCAGAGGGTAAGTCATTCGTGTTTGATTGAAATTGCTCCAGGCATTCAAGAGTTATGCTGGAACACACACGCGCGCACACACACACACACACAATTTTATATATCATATATTATTATATTAATCTCTCTGCATTACTGGAAGCAAAACATCTCGGTTTATTCTGGGAAAGACAGAAGATGAGCCAAGTATGAAAAACCTGAGGCCCACTACGCCAGTCACTCAGGATGGTTCTCCAAACTGCTTCTTGTCCCCTACCCGATTAGCCTTCTTATATACCCCAGGGGGGAAATTACTGGAATTGTAGTCCAGCCATATCGACCGGTTGCCAGACTGGTGGTGGTTCTGAATGATCTACAGGTAGTCCACAACTTACAACAGTTCTTTTAGTGGCCCTTTGAAGTTAAGGGACTTATGACCATTTTTCACACCATTGCAGCATCTCCATGGTTACATGATCAAAATGCAGACGCTTGGCAACTAACGCATATTTATGACGGTTTGCAGTGTCCCGGGGGGGTCACATGATCCCCCTTTTGCGACCTTCTGATAAGCAAAATCAACAGGGGGAGCCCAGATTCATTTAACAACCTTGTCTCTAACTTAACAACTGTAGTCGTTTGCTTCCCAACTGTCGGTCGTCACTAACACAGGAAAGCAGACCTTAAAACCCAGCGGATCCTCGCAGCAGTTGTGCTAGAAGTGTGCCGTACCTTGATTATCCCATCTTGCGATCAGCGGTTCTTCAAAGTAGATCACAGAATCGGAAAGATGGATCGTGATCCCCACGGTCACCGCTGAGTTGTCTTCAGAGTCCTCACATGACGCAGCGTAGGGGTAAGTCTCTAATCCCGTATCCAAGACCTCCAAGCAAAGGAAGGAAGGAAAATTGAGCCGTTTGGTAGAAAGAACAACATGCCCGTCCCCGAGTCTAAACTGTACGATGAACGACAGAGGGAACGAGGTACGTCTCTACTCCAGTAGTGGCAAACCTTTTCGGCACTGAGTGTCCAGAACCGGAACGTGTGTTCATGTGCATGCATGTCTACCAGGGGTGGGTTTCAACCGGTTCGCGGCGGTCCCTGCGAACCGGTTGGTCGCCGAACCCGGAAGTAAGTAACTTCCGGGAACAGCGAAGGGTGCGCCTGCCCGCCCACGGTCCTTACCCAGTTTTGATGAGTTCTGCGCTTCCACGCATGCGCAGGACGCAAGACGCATACAACGCATGCGTGCACCGCGCGCGTGCACAAGGACACCGCCGGCCCCGTTCCAACCGAACCGGTTGGAACGGGGCAAGAAACCTACCCCTGATGTCCACACACCAGGGCACCAAAAACCCGAAGACCAGGTGGCCGACACACACATGCCTATTATTTGGCTGTTTTTTTGTCATTTTTGGGCCATTTTCAGGAAGTTTTCTGGTGCTCCAGCCTGAAAAACGGCCTGAAAACGGCTGGAAAAATGGCTGGAAAACAGCCCGGAAAACAGCCTGTTTTTTTGGCTGTTTTTTGTCATTTTTTAGCCTGTGTTCAGGCCATTTTTCGGGTCATTTTCAGGCAGTTTTCTGGCGCTCCAGCCTGAAAAATGGCGTGCAAACTGCTGGAAAATTGCCTCTTTCTGGCTGTTTTTCGGGCTATTTTCAGGCCATTTTCTGGTGCTCCGACTTGAAAAACGACCTGAAAACAGCCGGAAAAACAGCTGGAAAACGGCCTGGAAAATGGCCTGTTTTTTGGCTGGTTTTGGCTTTTTTTCGGGCCGTTTTCAGGCTGTTTTCCGATGCTCCAGCATCCGCAAAGACCAGCTGTCCAGCGCATTTCCCCATAGAGAGGGCTCTGCGTGCCACCTGTAGCACGCATGGCCTAGGTTCTCCATCACGGGTCTAGTCTAACGAATAGAAAACTAGAGACGGCATGACGGTGGTCTCCTGTCCTAGAAGGGTTGTCACAAAGAAGAGGGAGGCAACCTATTCCCCAAAGCACCTGCGGGCCGCCTGGATAACTACAGAGAGAACTAATCTAGGACTAAGGAGAAATTTCCTGAAAATGAGAACAATCGATTCTCTCCAGAAGTTGTGGCTCTTTTATCACTGGATGTTTTTGAAAAGAGGCTGGACGGCCATCTGTCTGGAATGGTTTAGGGCAGAGCAGTGGGTTCCAGCTGGTACGCCCCAGGTGGCGCAATAGTTAGGGTGCAGTACTGCAGGCCACTGTTATCTGCAGTTCAGCGGTTCTAATCTCACCAGCTCAAGGTTGACTCAGCCTTCCATCCTTCCGAGGTGGGTGAAATGAGGACCCAGACTGTGGGGGTGATATGCTGACTCTATAAACCGCTTAGAGAGGGCTGAAAGCCCTATGAAGCGGTATATAAGTCTAATTGCTATTGCTATTGCTATTGCTATATGCAGTTCAGCGGTTCTAATCTCACCAGCTCAAGGTTGACTCAGCCTTCCATCCTTCCGAGGTGGGTGAAATGAGGACCCAGACTGTGGGGGTGATATGCTGACTCTATAAACCGCTTAGAGAGGGCTGAAAGCCCTATGAAGCGGTATATAAGTCTAATTGCTATTGCTATTGCTATTGCTATTGCAAAGTATCAA